TACATCCAATTACGAGTCGCAAGTTCTGTGAGTCGGAAACCCTCCAGGCTTTCTTGATTGGAGGATAACTGTAGACTCTAGTCAAGTCTATAGTTACCCACCAATCAAGAAAGCCTGGAGAGTTTCCGACTCACAGAATTGCGTCATATGAGTATGGTCATTAGAGAACTTCACGAACATGCGTACAAAGCAAAGTGGCCATCAAGTACCCTTTCGTGATGCAGGCGATTCAACGCAAGGTATCCCTATACAATGTAATAACGTTATAAGTAAAGGACCCAGGAATCCCGACATCGTAGGTCTCACTGTCCTCTTCATCGCAGAAGAAAAAGTTCAAAAAGTACCATTTGGAGCATAAGCAAAAGAATTAATAGCGATTACAATTATTGAAAATAGGTGACCTCAAGATAACATGAAAAGATCTGAACCAAGAACGTCGTTTATATGAACATACGTGTAACAGGTCTCCTAATTGATATACATGCGTCCTTCCTTACCCTCTGAATGGAGGATAGTGAAGTTTTTTGGCGCTGACCCATCTCGTTTGTGAGGAATGTGGAATGTCCCGCAATAGACTTTCATTCAAACGTTTCGAATGCAGATGTGGCTTATACAATTATTTGCAGTGGCTGGTCGGCATACACGTCAACGGTACCAATTAATCGGAACCCGTATAACCGAAAGGCCTAATGGGTTTGAAGGGTACCATGAGGGTACTTGGTCCCCGGACCACTTCCATCTAAAAACTAGGAGAAAAATCTATTTTTGGATAGAAAAGTTTTGAACCCATTAACAACCGTTACGTTTGGCAGGAAATGCGGACTGCAGTCCACATGTGGACTGCATGGTCCCGGAGGATCAATTTTTTGAATTTGAATTGCGAATTGTGAGTTGTTCATTTTTTTCTTGAATTCGCAAATTTAGGATGTGACTAACGATGATGGTAGGTGGGACTTGAATTTTAGTCAGCTACTGATGAATTCCGATGAGGAGCAGTTCCTCAGTCACTAATTCTTTTCATAAAAAGTGGCGATATAGATAAATAAAATTGAAAATACAAGTGCAGTCCACATGTGGAGTGCATGATCGTCAATGGGTTAAACGGAATGTAGAAGAAGAAGCGGATGCGAACTTTCGAAACCACTCACTGTTATCGATGCGGTCATCGTCCTTTATTATTCCTGGTAAAGCTCCTGCGATACGGCGAAATAGCTGAAATGGCGATGCTTATTTTCTGCAGGAAAACTGCCTACTTATGAAGAGCTATAAAGTTCCTTTCTCGAGTTCATGCAGTAGTAGAAGAATTAAGGGCAAAGCACCTGCGTTAATAAATCTTGTATTCGAAATGCACGTCCAGATTCTACTTTTGTTCAGAACCGTAGTGGCAGTTTAAAGGCATTTGGAAGATACAATGTCTTGTGGAGGCCAGCCGATGCCCAGACGAGTCTGCTACCAATTAGCCGACCTCGAAGGGTTAAAAGGTTTTCCTGGACAGAAGAGATATCGATCCCCGGACCACGCGTGTGTTATATTTGCCACTACACCATATCGGACCGGTGTGGTTGGTGCTCTATCATACACGCGTGGTCCGGGTTTCCAAACCCGGATCGATATCCGCCTAGGACAATCAAGACTCGCATCTCAGCGCTTAATTTGTCAGATACGCTTGAAAAGTTTAAGCATCGGCTTGCACATCGTCCATCCCCATCAAGTCGTTGTATCGGTCAAACACGCATTCAACCTGCCGCTAACCGTTACTGAATGGGAGTCGAACGCTGGTAACATTCCAAAATGCGATTGATTAACGCCGAAACTTACCGGCGAAGCGTTCACTTCTATGGGTATAAGGCATAACGCAACGCTGAGGACAAAAAAAGAGAAAAAGTCGTTTCCACTTCGAGCAACTGATTTCTTTAGCTTCTTACCGCCTCACGCATTTTCGATTCAACACTGTGACAACAGCATGAAGAAGCTAGCCTAGCAATTTCCTTAAAAAACAGTTTCTCACAAAGAGAGAAGTGTACTACTCCATCAGCAGTGAACAAAATCGAGGAAATTTAATGGTAAAAGAGTGTTCAATATATAACCTGAAACATTTTCTTTGTACTTCCTTTGAAAAACAACTCCCCAGATTCGGAGTGATAGTTCAAAACTGTACCTTGTACAGTAAATGAAGGGTTCATTGTACGTTATTATGGGGGCCGGTCTTGCGAAGTACGAAAGCATCTGAAGCGTACTTTAAACATTTTGCCTAAAACACCGCCCACAGTCGTGCATGCCCCGGCCGTGGGGGCGGAGCTCCCTGAGCTTCCATGTGCTCCATTGGTCTTATTCTATGCCCAGTTCATTCCAAACTTGACCCAACTTTTGCAGGTGCTTCTTCACGTAATATCAAATTTCCGTACAAACAGACAGACAACCGCGAGCGTTTTTTTACATTACAGAGATAGTAGGATATATAACGCACTAGTTGTGTCTGTTGCTTTGCCGATGAATGTGTGTGTTTGACTGGAAATCCATTACTGTTTCCATAGGCCCGGAACGTTCAAAAGGTAGCAGTATAGGCGGCAGTATTAGAACGCTGATGATGACAGATGCCAGAACCAGACTCTACCCACATGGGTAGGAGGGCAAGGCGGATGGAGGGGNGTCTGCTACCAATTAGCCGACCTCGAAGGGTTAAAAGGCTTTCCTGGACAGAAGAGATATCGATCCCCGGACCACGCGTGTGTTATAGTTGCTACTACACCATATCGGACCGGTGTGGTTGGTGCTCTATC